ACACAGGTTTCTCTTTCATTTTCTTAAAATGATCCCACACTTTGAGCTCCGTTGCTGGGTAGCCATGATACCAGAGCCTGTCTGTATAATGCCTTGTGACTAGGGCTGCCACGATTAATTGATTATTAAAATAATCAACGACTAATTTAATAATCAATTAATCGTTTTCTTTTTTTTGTTGTTGTTCTTTACTTTGTTTTTCTCTCCAAACTGCTTTGACACCTTCCACTGCCACATCTGCCTTTCTGTCGTTGACGCACATGCACAGTAGTGGTAACTGGGGTAGGCCGTGGACGTCACAAGACATTATACAGACAGGCTCTGGTATCATGGCTACCTGACAACGGAGCTCAAAGTGTGGGATCATTTTAAGAAAATGAAAGAGAAACCTGTGTAATATCTGCAGAGCAGAACTTGTCTTCCACAGAAATTATTTTTAATTAGCATATAGCTAAAATCTAACCATGGTTATATAATAGCAGCTGCATTCTGACGTGATAAGCTGTATGTTTTATATTTAATTAACGTATGATCTGATTAGTCGACTAATCGAATAAATAATTGGTGATTAATCGATTATTAAAATAATCGTTTGTGGCAGCCCTAATGGAAACACATTTTTCGAATCAGGTCTGATGTAACCGATTCGCTTCAAGTCAGTTGATAGAAAAACACATCTGATTCGCAATTTTTTTACATTTTTGCGAAATTTTAAAAATTCGCTCCAAATTCGAGTTAAAACCGGATGGAATCACGGCTGCTGGTTTGATCAAACGCCTCGCGGTTCAGGCCCGACGAGTCGTTTCTCCACGGCGGAGCGAGGGCTAACGGTGTGTTCCTGTCTTGTCCGCAGGGCGATGGCGAGGCCGAGCCACAGCGATCACGTCCTCCAGCAGCTCAACAACCAGCGGGAGTGGGGCTTCCTGTGCGACTGCCTCATCGCCATCGGGGACATCTACTTCCGGGCCCACAAGGCCGTGCTGGCGGCCTGCAGCTCCTACTTCAGGATGATGTTCATCCGGGACCAGCAGGGGGCGGGCCACCTGGACCTGAGCAACATGCAGATCAGCGCCGAGTGCTTCGACCTGATCCTGCAGCTCATGTACCTGGGCCGGATCGTGGTGGGCAGCTACGAGTTCGAGGAGCTCAAGGCGTCCATGGCGTACCTGCAGATGTACTACATCCCCGACTCGCTGGAGGACCTCAGGGACATCCGGAGCTCCAACCTCACCCCGTCCTCCTCGGCCTCGTCGTCTTCCTCCAGTTCCTCCACCGGACTCTCCGGGGGGAAAATGATGTTTGGGGTCCGGATGTACGAGCAGCAGAGGCCTGTGGCTTCTGAGGGCGAGGTTCTGACCAAAGCGGCGGGCGGCGGCGGCGGGGGACGTCCGGCTGTTCCAGCAGCCGTCAGCAGACCCGCAGCCACAGAGGAGGCAGTGGCGGCGGTCGCTCCTCTCGTGGCGGCGCCGTCGGCTGCAGACGGAGCGGCCGAGCAGCCGTGCGACCTGAGGAAGAGGTCCGGGGGCCGGGGCGCCGCCCTGAAGGACCGCCCCCGCTTCGGCCGCACCTACACCTGCGACGACTGCGGCTTCGTGTTCAGCTGCGAGAAGCTGCTGATCGAGCACATCCTGACCTGCACCAACCGCAAGGCCTTCCACCCGGCCCGGCCCGGCGCCGACAAGGCCGAGAGCTCCGCCTCCGAGAGCGCCGAGGAGCACAGGCTCGTCTGCAAGGGCGAGGACGACTGGGCCGAGGCCAGGACCGACTCGGACCTGCCCGTCGGGTCGGTGGCGGCGGCGGCGGCCGGGACCGACAGCGAGCCCGGCTCAACCCGGAGCATCAAAACGGAACCGGAGGAAAGCCTGTTCTGTGAGATCGAGATGGTCCAGGTGGGCGAGCACGGAACCAGAGACTGCAGCTCCCGCCTGAGCGACGGGACTCTGCGAGACTCGCTGAGGCCGAGCCGGGACTCGGAACCCGGAGTGTCGGGTTTGGAGCCCGTGGACGCCCACCCGTCCAGCAGCAACGACTCAGGAATCCCCTCGAAGCTGCGGCGGGTCAAAGACGAGCGGCCGGACCCCGACTGCTCCCCCTGTGAACTCTGCGGCGCCGTCCTGGCCGAGGAGGACAAGTCCACCCACTACCTGTCCAGCCACATGGGCCACATCTGCGCCTGCGGCCGCTGCGGCCAGGTCCTGATCAAAGGCCGGCAGCTGCAGGAGCACGCCGAGCGCTGCGGCGAGGCCCACGGCGCCGAGTCGGACTCGCACGGCGAGGACGAGGCGTCGCTGCTCGGGGAGGCTCCGGGGATGGAGGAGGGGCTGCTGGAGGCGGCGGACCTGGCGTGCCCCCACTGCGGCCTGCTTTTCCAGAACGGCAGCCTGGCGCTGGAGCACGCCCTGTCCTGCCACGAGCAGGAGCTGTTCCGGCCCGTCCTCCTGGAGGAGGGGGCCGGCGAGGCGGACCACCGCAGGAAGCACTTCTGCAGCATCTGCGGGAAGGGCTTCTACCAGCGCTGCCACCTGCGGGAGCACTACACGGTCCACACCAAGGAGAAACAGTTCACCTGTCAGACCTGCGGGAAGCAGTTCCTGCGCGAGCGCCAGCTCCGCCTCCACACCGACATGCACAAGGGCATGGCCCGCTACGTGTGTCCCGTGTGCGACCAGGGCACCTTCCTGAAGCACGACCACGTGCGCCACATGATCTCCCACCTGTCGGCCGGCGAGACCATCTGCCAGGTGTGCTTCCAGATCTTCCCCGGCGGCGAGCAGCTGGAGAAGCACATGGACGTGCACCTGTACATCTGCGGCGTCTGCGGCGAGAAGTTCCGGCTCCGCAAAGACATGAGGAGCCACTACAACTCCAAACACACCAAGAGGCTATAGAACGTTCCAGAAGAACCGTTCTCCTCGTTCCGTTTTGTTTCTAAGAAGCCATAAATGTGAGAACAAATCATGCACTTGAACACCAAAAAAGACACCTTCCTATCTGCACTTTGAAATATATGCATAACTTAAACAGGTGTTCAGACTGCGGGCAGCGAGGCCGCTGATTGGTCACTTTGTTAGTGGTGGGCGGAGCCTTGGGTTGAACTCGACATGGTGCCGGAGCACGGTTTGGATCGAGCTGTAGAAGCTGCTTTATTTCTGATGAAATCAGATTTTTATACAAGTTAAAGCAGATTTTTAAGAGAGAAATGAGCAGAAGATGAAAGTTACCAAGTAAATCCACCGTAGTTTAGTCTGCAGGTGGAAGGAGGAGGTCTGGACCTGGTTCTGATCCTGTTGGCAGTTTAACAGAATCCAAAACCAGTTCATCCTGGAGTTAACACGGATCCTGTAGGACCCAGAACCCTCCCCGCACCGCGTTTCTTTCTGTTCGCTTTAAGAGTTCTGCACAGAAGAACCTCGTCTGCGCTGTCAGAACCAAACCTCACGTCTGTAACCGGTCCTCAAACACTTCAGGTCCACAATAAACGGGTCAGAAACGAGCCGAAAACCCTCTCAGGACCAGTGTCACAGGAGAACCAATGCTGGTCTCAGAGTCCTGATCCACAGTCCAGCTCAGATCCAAACCAGTTCTCAGCCACGTGGCTACAAAACAATTTCAAATCGTTTCGAAACCCGTTCAGAACATTTCCAACCCCAGAACCAGACGGTCCCAAAGTTCTGAGTCTGAACTTGTTAAAAGTTAAAACGAAAGATTTAATTAAAACAAACGTGTAAAGTTCAACCAGTAAACAAACCAACCGGGTTCAGAACCTTCAGAAGGTCTGTGTGGAGGAACAGGCCACGCCTACACTACTTTTACATTGTTATGGTTTTTTTTTTCTTTGTCCTTGATTTCAACAAAAACACTGTAAAGATGAGTTTCTGCAGAAAAACGCCCTGAAGAAACGTCAGATGTTCTGATGTCGGAGGAAGATTCTCCTCAAACTTTAGTGTTTTTTTTTTTTTTTTTTTTGATGCATCGAGTTTCACTTCAGGACATGATTGTTTGAAACAGGATGTGGGACAAAAAAATAGATCCGTTAGTTTTTGGGTTTTTTTTTTTTTTTTCATTTAAAGCACAAAAGTTTTTTATCGAAAGATGTTTTACAACAAATCAAATCACAGCAAACAAAAAAAATAACAGTTGAAGGTACGAAATGAAAAATTGGAAGAAATATTAAAAAGATGTTCAGAAATGAAACATATGTTTCCTAAAAGCTTCGACTTCCTGCAGGTTTTTGGAAAAATCCGTTGAAATGTCAGGAGGAGTGAACAGGAAGTGAACGATGAGCTTAAATTCTTGCAGGTAAATTAAATAAACGGAGCTCTGGTGCTTCTGTTTGCTGCTTTCTAACTTTCCTGGTTTTTTTTAGTGATTTGTAGTTTGTTTTTTGGGGTTTTGGTGAAACATCTCAGACTTTCAAAATAAAACAACTTTCACGCAAACGACTTAAAAATCAAACTCAATGTTTTTCCTGCAGAAACCGTTAAAACTAATTTAGAACCCAAAAAAATTCCTCAAACTATAAAACCACTGGTCCAGCTGCCTGACGGATCAGCACCAACCAGAACCAGAACCGGTCCAGAACCTGCTTGTTGTCCAGCGGCTCAGAAGCTAAAAGCAGTTTGTGTTTCAGAACATGAGGAGGTTTTTGTTTGTTCGGCCTTTTTTAACCCAATAAACCAAGTGATCTTCTGTTTGTGACACAAGTCTCCAGTGTTTGTTGTGACTCGTCTGAACGCTGAGTCAGCTTAATATCTACTGTTTTAGCTGTTAAATCAAAACCTTCGGCTCGTTCAGGAGACAGCTGCTGGCAACGTTTGGTTTTTATTTCCATATTTTTCAAAAAAAAAGTTTCACTTTGTTTACCCTTACATTTCATAAAACAGAAATGTTAGCATTGCTACCTTTGTAGGGTTCCTGCAGATCCTTTAGTCATTGAATTAATCCAAAAATAAGGCCTTAATTAGCCCTACAATGTTTTAAATCAATCTTTCAGAAGACTTAAAAATGTGAACACATTGTAAATATAATGATTTTTATTCATCTCAAATATTAAAATAATTGGTAACATTTATTTTTTTAAAAATTCACATGCAGACATTCCCCTCTGACATCACTTCCTGTTATTTCACCTGCAAATATCTCAACAACGGTCCATCTGAGCAACGTGACATTAGTTTTCTAATATGTTAATAATGTCTTTCCAAAAATGCATTCATATTTCTTACAAACATTTTACGTCACAGGCACTTTAAGGTTTCATCTGCAGCAAATTGGTGTTCAGACCCCACTGTGGGTCATCAGAGGATTTTCAGGAATTAAATTAAGTTTAAAACTGACTGATAAGAGCGTTTCTGCTATAGTTAGATATGGATAAAAACCATTGGTATATTAACAATACTTGAATACTTCAACCAAAAATACTTTGATTCATGAGTTTCTGCCACAGTTTTTTT